GAAGATATTTTTGCTCCATTGACAGCTATTTAATTAACACTTTGAAGGCCAATAAAGGTAGGAAAGACATTGTTAAAATAGTCCATGCGGTTCAACCTTAATTTTATGAAGCGACGAAAATACTTTTGTGCGCCAAGAAAACAAAATAACGACTTTATTCAACAATTTCTTCTCTTCCGTATCAGTCTCCGAAGCACCATCACGAGAGCATCACGACACATGCGTAACCTCGCGTGCGTCTTCCTCTGCTTGTAGGCCATATGTCAGAACGCCAGCTCCTGCACACATGCGTTGTGGTGCTCCCGTGAACGGGCGTCGGACACTGATACAGAAGAGAAGAAATTGTTGAATAAAGTCGCTATTTTGGGGTTTTTTGGCGCACAAAAAGTATTCTCATCAACTCATAATATTAAGTTTGAACCACTGTAGTAACATGGACTATTTTAACAATGTCTTTTCTACCTTTCTGGGGCTAGCTGTCAATGGAGCCCCCCATCAAAAACATCTTAATTTGTGTTCCGAAGATGAACGAAAGTTTGGAACTGACAGAATTTTTATTTTTGGGTGAACTAACCCTTTAACCATAACAGAATGGAAGGATTGTGGGATGTCAAAGGATGATCACCGAGCATTTTGCCAAGTAAGACATGTTCCTGGATCAACATATTTTGTTGATCCTGGAACAACATTCCCGTCTGAAAATGTTGTCCTACCCCTAAACATAACCATCTATATCTATAAAACCAGAGGGAAATGATCGATGAATAACACTGATGTAGAAGTAACCCGGGTTGTAAACCTATTTGACATAAACTGTAAACTTGTCCCTCTAATCTGATTGGTTGATTGGAATGTTCCAGGATCAACAAAGATGTTGATCCAGGAACATGTTGTAGCCTTGGTAAAATCATGTTTACAATCAAGGGATATCGAAGGATACATCTATGCCGCCTTCAGAAATCGATCATATGAAGGCATCTCAGGAGACAGGAAGTGAAGCTAACAATGGATTCGGACGTGCCTTGATGCCTTCCTACCTTGGAATGCATCCTCCGAAGGCAGCATTTTCCATAACGAATGAGTCTAAAGAATTGGTTCTTTTTATTGAATCGAACACATACAGCTTACAACAAAATGTGAGACTTTAACAGAAGTAGAAAAAGAAAAAAAAAACATAAAATTAATAATGCAATGACATTGGTTACTTTGACTAGAAATAACGTAAGAATGTGACATGTCAACTTTGACTCTCCTACCACTGCGGTAGGGTGTGATGTGGGGAACAGCAGGCTGTGATCTGTTGTGTAAATATCAGCGCTGTTCCAAGTGTTGCGGGCGAGGCTCTAGATCTTTACAGCTGCATCTGGGGAAGTATGATGAGGTGCTAAGTGTGTCATAAAGGCAGATCAGCACTCTCTAAATCAGGTGAGGGCTCCTTTATTCTTCAGCTTTCAAAAACCTTGAGCTAACTGCGGCTTAAATAATTACGCCGTGCACTGATGTTTAACTGCATCGTCAGAGGTGCTGAAAAATAATATGCCATTATTCGCCTTGGTGAATTTCTTCTTTCTTCATAAGCCAAGGAAACTGTTGAAAGAGCGAGCCACTATGATTTACGGGTACTACTTAAGGCTTTACTGCTTATGATGTCAAAACTTCTGATTATTTTTACAACCTAGACTGGAAATTTGTCTCTCTTAATCGTCTCTTATAGAGATTTAAGGAATTTTAATCAAATTAAAATTAAAGAATATTTACCCTCGTCATTCCAAGCATGTTGTTATTTTTCAGTTTAAAATTAAGGTATAGATTTCATAGTTGATCATAGTGATCAGGGGCTGTTAAGCTACAACAAAAAAATATTATATTATATACCTGAATGTTGTGTAAAATGAGGGGGATATTTATATATATATATATATATATATATATATATATATATATATATATATTAATGAAAGCAGCAGCTGAAATTATTTTGGAATAGAATAGAATGTTGTTTGCAAATTTGTTCTGAAACAACATGTCGATAGTAACATCCTAAACTGTGAAATTAATTTTTTAAAAAAAGTCTATTAAAAAAATTAAGCAATTTTACAGTTAAAAAAAAAATAGTTTTTGACAAAAACAAAGTTTTAGAAAACAATAAACTTCACATTTCGGCCATTAAACTTATAGAAAAGCAAATAGTCTAGCAGGATAAATAGGTTCCCATCCCATGTACCCGTTTGGCATTTTTTTGTAACCTGTTTCTTTGGGACCCATGGTGGTAAACACCAGGAATCAAATGGAAAGGTTTTTGACATGGTACAACCACTCTTTATTTGTGAAAAACAGGCAAATAACACATTTTAGTCTCATAACTTTTGCTATTTTGTTTTTGCAATAGATTCCTGCATTAGTCCTGTTTGTCATAGACCCATGAACGAAGCGTCTATAGACTTAACATTGCAACGGATTTTGGCGAAACATAGCCATGAGCAAGGATTTTGTAGAAACATATGGGTTACTACATTTGAAGAGGCTGGCAGGCTCTGTAAAAAAAAAACAAAAAAAAACTTACAATTGCGTGTAAGTTGTACCCCTGGGGGGCAAGAGCTGCCCAAATTTGCCCAATATAGACATACTATGGTAAAGGGACGGCCCATGAAACAGGGATTGCGCATAAGTGTTGTTTATCCTACTATGTAACTTGCATAGGAATTTTGTATTGAACATTACTCTGGATCGTGGTCTCTCAGGATCACCAAGAAGCTATCAAGCCACGCCCTAGCAACCATTTAGAGTACCCTAGCAACAAATTCCATAAACTTCCACTGAAAGAGGTCAAAGGGACAAGTGTCATAGAAACATGAGGGTGGGGTCATTTGACTCGGGGCAGTAAACAGCCAATCACGAATCACCTTCAACGCTCCCTAGCCATGCCCTAGCAACCATTGTCGAGCACCCTAGCAACCAAACCCAAAGAGGGATAGCTTGGAAACGGGTATATGGGAACCTATTTCTCCTGCTAGACTAAAAAGTTGTGAAACAATTCTTCACAAATGTTGTTTGTGTTCCGCATAAATATAACAGTATTTTGATTTGGAATAATAATGGCAGAATTTTAGCTCAACTGTTCCTTTATTCACCAAACCTCTAATAATTCGACATTTCTTCATCGTAATCCAACAAGGTGGAATTTTGAAACCATTTAAGACCTGTGGATTCAGTACCAAGGGTGTAAAAACCCCTATAAAATAATTGTTTAGAAAATGGAAACTTGGACCTGTTGGATCTCCACAGATGAGGAAATGAAGTGCATGCAGGAAGCCAAATTCAATAAAGCTGAGGTTCAATAACTTTCAAAAGGAAACAGAATGGAAAAGCCTATGATGTTGTCCCCTGATGGCATAACTCTGCATGAGTGTGAACAGCACACCCAGAAAAATTAGGTTCATCTTTCCATCACTATGGTGTTAGCAACCAAGCAACACACACCTTGCCAAGTTAAGCCACATGCTATACTTTATTGCATTTTTAAATGTTCCCGTTTCATTTATTTTCCTCCTGTTTACCTGGAGACAATAAAAATATGAGTTCTGACATGTTTTTGCCTACCTTTAAAAGATCTGGTGTGGATTTACAATGTGGTTCCAGACTTTTCGACCCCATTGGATGTATACAAGTCTGTTTTCCTGTGGATATAAATGACACATGGAAAAACTTATGATAAATGCACATTGATTAACTGTTTCTTGATGGTCTAAAGCCTGTATCATGTATATTTCTTTGAACAATCATCACGGTCTAGAAATGTTGGTAACAAACATGGAAATCGCACATCAAACCCATAACTGAATTTACGCTGAAATACACAAACCATTTCAATACAGAATACTATTTATTGTGTCATAAAAAATCTGAATTCTATCACACATTCATTTATGCAACCAGTTCCATATCTGGCAATAACCCGCATGCAAAAACCATGAATCATTTCCAAATCAAATAGCCCCCATGAGAGAAACAGTTCTGAGTGTAATTTTGTCTCACTGAGCAACTGGTGACCAAGCTGTACCGCTTTGTGGTTCATTTGCAGCTGCAGAGCAAGAAAAAAAAAACCCTCAAGGCAAGATTAACTACAATTAAACTAAAACAAGCACAATTAAAATACACAACTGTCAACGGTTTCAAGTACATTAATCAAAAGAAAAAACCTTTACAAATAACTTTCTGAAATTCATGGTACATCCACCTTTTTTGAGCCTCTGACACAATATTAATATTAAAATTACAATAATTTTTTTAAAAGTGGGAAGCATCTATCTGGTTGGAGTTTTCAATCTGGAGTACAAAATTGTGTTTACAAGCTCTCAGATCTCAGAAAGAACTGCAGGATTCATCAAGGTTTATGAAATCTGTGGCATCAAATTTTGAAAGCTATTCAAGTGTTTTGATTGACAGAAAGTCTTCGCAAACAAATGAGACATTTTTTCTCACTTGTATATTCTTTTTTGCTCTCTTTAATGCACTTTACTCGCCCCTTTTTGTAATAGAAAAGAGTCGATAGTCACTTTTTATAACACACAGCCTAAAAGTTTCTAAATCTCTACATTGATTACAAGACACTTATTCTGATTTAATGGCATAGTCAGTTGTTAAGCTCATCCTTATCCACGAAGTTAATTGAACTAGATAAAATCCAGACATAATATCTATCTTAGAAATGAGCAGGTGCTGAATAAATACTGTACTTTCTGATTTGTTCACACCACATTAACACAAAGTGCACATACAACACTTCAGTACCTGCTAGAAAAGCACACATCCTTAAAAACAAAGGTTCCAAATGGGGATTTCCACAGCGAAGCCAAAGAAGAACCATTTGGGTTCTCCAAAGAACCTTTCAGTGAACAGTTCTTAAAGTCCCCATGAAATCAAAGCTATCTATAAGCTAGTGTGCTCCAAAACAATGACAAGAATCGCATTTAGAAAATATAAGCATTCGAAACTAACAGTCTCTCACTTCCGCCAATATGAATCAATGATTTCGATGACATCACTCTACACTTCAGCTTCTCGTCAGATTTTATGTCCAATCAAATGCTCTCAAGGATGTGAAGTGTCCCGCCCCCTACATTACAAATAGACGCTGAGGCTGCGGTCACTTGTTCACACATTTACAATTCAGACAGTGTAAATATGCTTTCCATTGGGGTGAATCACGCGAACCGCTGCAGTAAAGTCTGCTACGGTCCAGAGAAACGATAGCACAGAGCGTATCATAAGCGCGAGTCGGCGCAGACCCGGAAACGTATCGGACACATTTGATTTCTGCACAGAATGCTATATTTTAAAGCAATATGGAGGAGAAACTGGTAGCCAGGCAACAGACAAGTGACCAATCCTGACACGCATTCTACCAGCAAGGTTCGGCCAAGAACGGTTTGTAATTGTGCCGTGCCGTACCAGGCTCAAGTGAAAACATAACTGGAACCGTTCCTTACTGTTCTTAGAACCATTCGGCCCGACGGTGGAAAATATACCAAAAAAGAACCTTTATTTTTGAGAGTGCTCTGTGTGGATGCACACTACATCACCCAAGATCCCCAGCTCCATTAAAACTCTACTTTTACTGATGTTCTTCGGATCTAAAATGCATCTGGTTTTGTGTACCCAGCACACAACATCCATAAAACCACAGGGTTCACAGACGACTGGCACTTTCCTGGCTAGGGTTTTCAGGAGCCTAAGAGCTCCGGGCTGAGGCTGTTATCCAACAGGCCCGTTTAGCTCCTTCACCTGTGGGCCATAGACAGGTGTGATGCTGCCACAGCCAAGGTGAGCCTCCAGGGGACATGTTTACCTGCACAAATTTGTCTGCCTCGATAGGGGTGATGGTCTTTGAGGAATCATGGGGGAGAAAGCAAGAATTCAGTCTCTTGCGTATTTCCTGGCTTTGGCTAACGCAGACCCACATGTACTGCACATTCCACGGCGCAAGTCAGACGTGAGAGCCTGGTGTTGGCGGCTCGACACCCCCAATTACACACCCTCACGCTGCAATCACATCCTCCCTGTGTGCACTTAAGCAGATCACAGAAATACAAACCTAATGACCCAGCGGGGGAAAAATGAATTCTTAAATACATTATTATCCTGGCAGTGCACTGAGTGTTCATTTGGGATTTTCTCAGTAAATAACATTAATTGATTATAATATTATTTAAAAACTATTTTTGATGATTTGACATTTGTTTATTTATCCATTGGCTTATCTAGTAATTTGCATTGTTTTTTTTTATTATTATGTATAAATACATATGTCCAAAAGTCTGGGGTCGGTAATTTCTTTTAATATTTCTAAAATAAGTCTCTTATGCACACCAAGGCTGAATTTATTTAGTTAATACAGTGAAAACAGTAGTATTGTAAAATTATTAAAACAACTGGTTTTCTATTCTAATACATTTTAAATTTTGTATACATTTTCAAAAGTAATTTTTTCCTGTGATGGCAAAGCTGAATTTTCAGCATCATTACTCCAGTCTCCAGTGTCACATGATCCTTCAGAAGTTATTCTCATATTCTGATTTAGAAACATTTATTATTATCAAAGTGTAAAACAGTTGTTATTTTTGTAGGAACTAATACAATTTATTTTCAGGAATTATTATTATTATTTTTTTTTTTAATGTTCAAAACAGCAGCATTATAAATGTATTTAATCCCACTTCAATTTAATACATCTTTGCTGAAAAAAGTATAAAAATAAAAAAAATAATAAAAAGCTTACAGTTTTGACACAACAGAGACAGATTAAAAGTCTGTTTTTGGTCGTCTTTGTGTGGTCCACCATTTAATATAATAATGAATCTATAAAAACAGTAATGAAGAGAATTCCCCCAAATTTTCCAATATTGAACCTCTGCTTTCTTCCTCTGTTGAAACTGATCAGACTTGTTTATGCCTATTGAAATGGAAAGAGAAACAAGCAGAGGATGGTGTCATAGTAACCACATTTGCCACTTGGCACCCACTAGTCATTAAAATGTGGTGGGATGAACCCGTTAGAGGTTCCCCTCATTGAGAATAATTATGTCAGGCCATCGTTAAGCCATTTTTTCCGCTAACGTCCTGCACAGATGTTTTAGGGACTTTCGACTCCATTAATAGTGTCAGCGACACATTTTTTCAGTGTTTGTCAACCTCGCCTCATAATGGGGGAAAAGGGAAGTTTGTGGCTTACCTCTGAAATTCTAGTGGTAATAAAATCCAGTTTGACCGACGGGATGAAAACAGATTTTTGTTTTTAACGAAATTAGAATGCAAGACTTATGTAAGTTGTAGGTCACGCCAGGTCATAAGGAAACGGACGCGATAAAGGACGGGATTCTGTGACAGGCCGGTCAGTGACTCTCAATTTCCACTTTTTCAAAGCATGGCGTGCGTTCTAGACTCATCTGGGTTTTCTCAAGATGCAAGTCATAATCAAAGCGGGTTTATTGCATCCCAGCCACTCCACTGAAGTGAGAAAAGGTCGGGACAGTAGTGGAATGTCCAGTGGGAGGAAATGAGATGATAATTTAAGCGGCTGGAATGAGTAGAGCCTTCCTCGTGGTCAAAACAGAACAGCCCACACCAAAGTAGTAAAGAATTTGTTGTCATATATTTATGAAAATGTATTAAAAGTTTAAGAGACCATTGCTATCATTCGCAGAGGCTCCTCTTAGCTTTTAAAATCAAAACAACCATAGTTATAATCAATAGGTCAAGGTTTGGATGACACTCTTAAAAAAGGTTCTAAAAGGGGGGTTTGCAATCTTAATCTAAACAACCTTTTTTCAATATAAAGAACTTTTAGGAATGGAAAGTTTCCATGTATGTTAAAGGTTCGTCATGGACCTAGATGCCAATAAATAACTTTTATTTTTAGGAGTTCGTAACTACAACATCTGTCTGAAAATACTGATTAGATGTTAAAGGGGTCATATAATGCCATTTTTGTACAAGCTAATAGGATTCTTTAGAGTCTAAATTAAAACTTTGTAATATACTTTAATTAAAAATTCTCATTAGTATTGTAAGAAAACACTTATTTTATCTGGTCAAAAACAGCTCTGTTTTTTCAGCATGCCATTTCAGTGCATATGACTTTAAATGATAATGAGCTTTGCTCACCCCGCCTCTCTGTTCTGTGTGTACACCGTTTGTAACACAATAACCATAACGCGTTGTTCATTATAGACGTGGGATTATGAATTCTATTGAGAACGTCGTACATAGAAAACATGCCGTAATGTACCCTGAGTGTAAACCTTAGACGCATTCATTGTGAAGCGTGCATCTAACGATTTGCAAAGATTAATATAAATATTAAAGATTAATAAAACGTTACACTCACTTCAGTTATTTTGGAGGTTCAGCAGGAACACGAATAGTTGGTACCGGTCCAGGAGCAGCTTCTTAGCAAAACCAGCTTTATACTGACCCTCCTCGTTTATAAGCAGTCTGGTGTGTGAAATGATTCGCGCAAACATGAGAGCATTGACGTTGCTCGTGGGGAATATTCCCTTCGAAAACAAACTCACCGGTTCGGATTAAGGAACATTAAAATGACTGCTGTGTTCGTTATTACACCCAAGAAGAGAACACCACAATCGCTTAGACGCCATTCTGCTCATAGACAGTGCTCCAGCATATCAACAATGACCGCGCCGGTCCGCGCAGACTATGATTGACAGCTCCCTCACGAGCGAGGGCGGGTCTGTGTTGAAACCCGGCTGTCAATCAACAATCGTGGGAGGGGCGTCCGACCGTGTGACGTCACACGGTCGAACGGCTTGATTTGAGGCAGGGGAAAACATATAAGGAGATTAAAACAAAAACACTGGATGGATTTTTATCATTTTATGATGTTTGTGTACAGGCACTGCCAACACACATTTCAGTACAATCAACTTATGACCCCTTTAATATCTCAACATAGGCACTGCTCGTGAATATTAATTAGCTTTAGTCTCACATAGCCAGACCTTCAGATTGACGACAGCAGCTTTCATTGGCCAAGGCCGTCTGACTGACATGTAAAGCAACCAATCACAGTTCGTTTTGTTCCGCATCATGTTTAGGGGCTTGAAAATCTAACATTGATGTCCCTACAATAACAGACCGTGGGTGTAAAACTCTTGGGTGTATTTTAAAGAGTCTATGTCATGAACTTAAAATACTTTTAAAAAAACAAGCATTCAGTTGATCCTGATAAGCGCTCATTGTCACAATTGTAAACACGACGGCTTTCTTCTTCCATGAGGCATCACAGCGGCTTTGTTTTCAGGTGGCCAGTTAAAGAATGTGACACACAAACGAGCATGTAGAGCTTAATTCTGGTATGTAATGCCCGCTTTTCAAGATCCAATCAATTCCTAAACAACCGAAATTCATTCCAGCCTTATATTTCTTGTTGAACAGGCTGTTTTACAATGAAATGTCGCATTGTGGAAGTAAAATGGGTTGCAAACAGCAGTTTATGTCATCTTTAAATAAATAGTGCGTCATGTAAAAATGGCCTAAAAAAACAAAAACTTTTGTCATTTAGACAGAGAGGGTGAGAATCACAACACAGCTTAACAAGACACAGCTGAAACCGTAAGGCATCATAGAGCCAGAATAACAAACTCCTAACACCAGATTTTGTGAGTAAACATTCAAGGGACACAAAATGGCTGAGTACCAGAGAGAAATTAATGAACACAACAAGCTTAGATTCATCTGTTGCTCTGAAGGGTTTGTTTGTGTAGGCCGGAGGAGGCAAAGGGGAGATGGGAGTGAGGTGGGCCTTGAGTAGATCATCACAGGGAACCTGAAAAAACACGAATCACACACAAAAAAAGCAGACAATGATGTCCTTCACTTTCTGTTTTGCAGGTTGATACAGATATCACACAAAACAAAACGTGTTGATGAAAAAGGACATGAGCACATGCAAACCATATGAACACACCAAAGCTAAAACCTATGACATTTTTTT